GCAATACTAGATTTGAGGCTTTCACGGCCATTGATACAATGTCTAGGTATAGCTTCCGGAATGGAGCCGTGTCTTGAATCAGCGATATGCCGACGTTTCGCAAACGTTGCAGTTTGCATCATCAGGGCTGAGAACTCTGATACTGATACAGATACAGATACAGATACTGATACTGATACTGATACTGATACAGTATCAGAGTTCTCAGCCCTGATGATGCAAACTGCAACGTTTGCGAAACGTCGGCATATCGCTGATTCAAGACACGGCTCCATTCCGGAAGCTATACCTAGACATTGTATCAATGGCCGTGAAAGCCTCAAATCTAGTATTGCTAAGCTTTATTTATCGTAAATTAGGTTTGTAACTAATGATACTTATAAAATTCTAGGTATAAAATTCTAAAACAAACGATGAAGATGCTAAAGATTTTTGCGTTGGTATCATGAAGTTTCCTTGTTTCAGGAATTATGCCGGGTGAATTTCGTTCTAATAGGACGAACGATTCTCTTCGTCGGTAACTGTTATCTTGACCACGCTACTAAATCCTGCCTACCCTCGGACATACAGACTCTGCTGCCGTTATCGACCGCTGCCTCGTCTGCTACGATTCACGAGTCATCGTTCAACGTTGATCCGGTAACGTCGTCTCGTTGCGATAATGACAAGAAGCAACATCAGTGGTCTACCATCACTCGTCGTTGCCCCCTCAGTTGCAATATGTTTAGGCGCACTGTTGTTGCTTTGTCGGACCTCGGACTTAAAAAGTTATTTCCGTAATCTACTGTTAAAATAACAAGTATATCTTCTCTGGGTTGAATAATATTGAAAAAGGAAGAAAAGAATGGCAATGTTGCGGTAGAATTACTTGCCACACGACGAAGAAGTTACAGTGAGATCGATGTGTACAATACTAGTTTAGCGACCGTGTAATGTCTGTTTGATATAACGAAAAATAGATTAATATCGTTAATATGCGCGAGACTTCTATGTATTAAAGTTATAATTTTTCGTAGATAGGTATATTAACGTCCATCTCTCCGGAAATGATGACGTATGTTATTCTAATTAGCGAATATTAATGTTAATCGAATTATTTATTTATATACAGCATTTTTTGACTGCGACACTGAAACGAGATATTATTAAATACGTACAGTGATAATTTCAATATAAATATCTGAAGTAATATTAGTTATAAGAATAATTGTAGATAAGGCTCGTTTGTAATTATTTAGTTTTATAGCGCATGTAGTAAAATTTTTAAGATATATGAATTCCCTAAGACCATCGATCTTTAATGATATCTCGTTCGTGGCTGTGATAAAAATTCATGTGTGTTTTCTCGTTTTTATTATAAATGTTAAACTGTCTGTGAAATATATGAAATGTACATTTGCTAAAAGAGATCTTCTCTAACACGATTTGTGCATTTGCAATTGTACTATTTTGTATCCTTTGATCATTGATTTCTTTGTAATTATATACGAGATGCAATTATATAGAGATGGTATTTATAATCGATATGAGTGAACTATACGTATGTGATGATGAATATACTTTAAAAATGTCTCGAGAGAGGGAGAGAGAAAAAATCGTTAACATAAGAGAGGTGTCAAATAGTAAAAAAGTCAGAGTGAAAATATAAAAATTAAATTAATTATTCAAAATCAAAGATTGCACAGCGGTGTAAATCAAACAATCGAGCTGCAGATGGTATGTTATATTTTCTCATCTCGTACAGTTACAATATAATTAATTAAATTAAATTCTGCAGAGGGAATCTATAGTTTCACTTAATGTATTACAATTTTTGGCTCTTCCTGTTTGTCGACGAACGATGTTGCAATTTAACTTAAATTACACGTGACCACAATATTATGTAACTATATGCGATATCGTCTACGAAGAGTTCGCGAATCAGGGTGAAATAAGAATGGCAGCATTAATAACCGCAGTTAGTTAATAAATTATGTATTATATTTTGATCTCGGAGATATAATTGTACATGTTCGTGCGATCCGTGTACTTAGAAGTAATTAACGCTTCAAGTTTTTAATGTAAATAGCACGAACCGAGGGAATGAAAGAAATCAGATAGTAGAAGCTCATATAAAATTATCGCTTTGTCTTCTTCCTCCCTCTTCTCTTTCTCTTTCTTTCTCTCTTTCTTTCTTTCTCTCCTATGTAATGTCTCTAGATAGATGACGTTTTTATCGACGATTCCCGATTCTCTCAGCCTCTTAGAATGAAATGTCGCCAAAATCGGATTTGTACTTAAAGTAAGCATCCCTATTCTTCTTGTGTCCCTCTTCTTTTCGCGCGTGTTTGAGAAGACTGCTTATCCAAGCACGTTTCATCAAGAATTGACACAAGAAACTTCAAGGTCTATTACAACTTGTCTTGCTCGTAGATTTTCACAAGTATAGTTACTGAATCTTTTTAGGTAAAATCGTTAGAGGCTTATGTACTCCAACTATTAAAATTGTTAAGTTCTAAAGTTCCCGCTATGTAATCTTAATGTAATTACGCTAAGTAGGCCTTTCTGTTCGTTTCGCTTAAGAGTCTAAATTGTCTATGTTTAATATTGCACGTGGCTTTGTTTATTACCGCGTGGATAAGTGTTACAAAAAGAGATTCTCTACAAGAAATTACAAAGCTAACGAGATAAAGTAGTGGTACGGTCGTGGTACAAACTTCACGTTGATTTCGAATGGCCCCAATCTGAAAAAAAAGAAACAATTAGATATGAATATTTGATTCCTTTTTTTTTTGTATATTAGTCAAGTTTTCGTCATAGCGCAATGCGTTTTGACGAGGCCCTCTTACCGATTGTAAAATTGCTTGACTCGTTTTGTAGGCTTCCAAAGAGTACGAGACAATCAGTCCTCGAAGAGGTCATTGTTCCTCGGTTTTCCTGTGTGAAAGTGTGTGCAGCACTTACACATAGTCAGCGAGAAGTGACATCTTGTTCTTAAACATTACGTATCACGTACACCCATGTCGGCGGCTATCCAGATCAATTCAAATGTTTGGGAGGTTCTTCTTGTTTGATTCATATCATTTCTATGAGCGACAAAAATTATTCTTTATTAGCGAATAGAACTTGAAATTAAAAATAAAATTACATTTCTTCCCTTTGTTTTCTAAAATTTGATATTTTTTAAATGTATTCACTAATTGTAAAAAAATTTCTCGTACTTCGAAATATATAGGGTGTCCCAGAATTTCCTCCGCATATTTTGTGGAAATGTAGAACGGGTTGAGGTAAATATAAAAATCCTATACCGTTTTGCGATATTCGCAATAACAATCGAGAAATTAATTGTAAAAGATTAAAGAAAAACGCACGCTGAATGGTTAAGGGAGGAGTACTCGCGACCCAGTAATATAGCTGGCGGATGTCAGCGCGCGACTTATATCGCTACAATCTTTCGTTTTGCTGCATCGCGCCGAGGCGAAATATAGGAGTGCAGCGATATAACCCACACAGCACATCTTTCAAAAAGCTTTCCGAAAGATCCTTGGAAATTATATCGAAATATTGAAATAATTCTGAAATTTTTGTGAAACGTTTCATCAAAATCCTTTTCACTGAAATATTTCAGAAATCGCTTATACCCACATAGCATACTTTATCCTGAGGAAATCCAAAAATGTCCCAGATTGGCGAAGGCAATCCCAGCGATATTCCAGTAAGTATATTCCGGGATATCCCAGCAGGATATCGTAAAATATCGTAAGATATCCTGTTAATATCTTACGATATCTTGATATATCAAAATATCTTACTATATACTTTGGTTCTGCATATTACCAAATATAACATATTTTACAATATCGGCAGATTATTGCACGTAACGTTATATACATACAGTGTGTCCCATAAGTTCGGCAACGGCAAAAAAACTCGGCGGGAGAGCATTTTAGAGAAAAATGTTTCCAATAAAAGTTGTAAGGCTTAAAAAGTCGCATTTAATGACAGTAGTTATTTGACCTAAGATGACGTCGCCAAGGTCAGGACAAGGTCAACTTTGCTTTTTTAGAAATACATATTTTTTATTACGGGATTTTATTCTACGTAAAAAAGCAAACAACTTTTGCTTGAAAAAATTTTTTATACGACCTCTATTTTCTAAGATATTTACGTAAAT